AATCCCACTGTCCATGTTGCCAACAAAGAAGTTAAATGGCGCTGGTCCCAATACCGACCCCTGAGGAACACCACTCATCACTGGTCTCCACTTGGACATCGAGCCGTTGACCGCAACTGTTTGAGTGCGACCATCCAGCCAATTCCTTATCCGCCAAGTGGTCCTTCCGTCAAATCCATGTCTCTCCAATTTAGAGACAAGGATGTTGTGCGGTACAGTGTCAAATGCTTTGCACAAGTTCAGGTAGATGATGTCAGTTGCTCTTCCCTTATCCACCAACACTATAACCCCGTTGTAGAAGATCACCAAATTTGTCAGGCACGATTTGCCCTTAGTGAAGCCATGTTGGCTGTCACCAATCACCTCCTTATTTTCCATGTGCCTTAGCATAGTTTCCAGGAGAATCTGACTGGCCTGTAGTTCCCCAGGTCCTCCTTTTTAAAAATGGGGGTTATGTTTCCCCTTTTCCAGTCAGTGAGAACTTCACCAGACTGCCACAACTTCTCAGATACGATGGATGGTGGCTTAGCAACTTCATCTGCCTGTTCCCTCAGGACCTGCGGATGCATCTCATCAGGTCCCATGGACTTGTGCATCTTCAGGTTCCTTAGATGGTCTCGAACCTGATCTCCTCCTACAGTGGGTGGTTCTTCATTCTCCCAGTCCCTGCCTTTGCCTTTTGCAACTTGGGCGGTGTGGCTTGAGCATTTGCTGGTGAAGACTGAGGCAGAAAAGTCATTGAGTACCTCAGTCTTCGCCATATCCCGGGTAACCAGGTCTCCTGTTTCCTTCTGGAGAGGGCCCACGTTTTTCCTAGTCTTCCTTTTACCCCCGACGTACCTATAGAAGCTTTTCTTGTTGCCCTTGACGTCCTGGCCTGATTTAATTCTGTCAGGGCTTTAGCTTTCCTAACCTGATTCCTGACTGCTCAGACAATTTCTCTGTATTCCTCCCAGGCTACCTGTCCTTGCTTCCACCCTCTGTAGGCTTCCTTTTTGTGTTTGAGTTTGTCCAGGAGCTCCTTGTTCATCCATTTAGGCCTCCTGGCATTTTTCCCTGACTTCCTCTTTGTTGGGATGCATCGCTCCTGAGCTTGGAGGAGGTGATCCTTGAATAGTAACCAGCTTTCTTGGGGCCCTCTTCCCTCCAAGGCTTTATCCCGTGGTACTCTACCAAGTGGATCCCTGAAGAGGCTGAAGTCTGCTCTCCTGAAGTCCAGGGTAGTGAGCTTGCTATGCGCCCTCCTCGGTGCCCTGAGGATCTTAAACTCCACCATTTCGTGGTCACTGCTGCCCTTGAGCTTCACATTCCCCACCAGCCCCTCCTTGTTGGTGAGAACAAGGTCCAGCATAGCACATCTCCCTGTTGGCTCCTCTATCACTTGGAGAAATAAGTTATCATCAATGCATTCCAGGAACCTCTCGAATTGCTTACGCCCTGCCGTGTTGTTCCTCCAACAGGTATCGGGGTGGTTGAAGTCCCCCATAACGACCAGGGCTTGTGAACGTGAGGCTGCTCCTATCTGTCTACAGAGGGCCTCATCTGCTCAGTCTTCCTGCTTGGGTGTCCTGTAGCAGACCCCCACTGTAATGTCACCTGTCCCTGCCCTCCCTTTGGTCCTAACCCATAAGCTCTTGGTCGGCTCCTCATCCATCCCCAGGTGGAGCTCCATGCACTCCAGCTGGTCATTGACATAGAGGGTGACACCCCCTCCTCGTCTCCCCTGCCTGTCCTTCCTAAAGAGCCTGCATCCCTCCATCCCAACGCTCCAATGGTAGGAGCCATCCCACCACATCTCTGTGATGCCAGTAAGATCATAGCCCTGCAGGCGTGCGCACATCTCTAACTCTTCTTGGTTATTCCCCATGCTACGTACGTTTGCATAGAGGCATTTAAGTTGGGCCCCTGATGAAGCTGACTTAGTGGTTCCCAACCTGTTTGTGTTTAAGTCCTGCTTGAAGTAGTTGGTAGCAGTCCACCTCATAATGCATACATTTGGCTTTAATTTAAAGATACATATACATTTAATATTTAGAATGTCTTTGGGCTTCTTGAGAAACACATGTTGCTGGTGCATGTGGACAGCAGGGTAAACCAATGTATTTATCAGGCTTCAGTTATAGAAAAATTAGTATATGAAGGCAAGCTGTAAAACTTCAGAAAGACAAATCTGGTTTGAAAACGAAATAATTCTTCCTGTAGTTTAAGCTATTATAATTCTTCATTCATTTGTCAGGCTGCATCAGTGATTTTTTCGGTTCTACATGTTTACATGGCAAGCATTTTTAATAAGCCCTTGTCGATTTCTTAATATCAGCTTCTCAAATGCAAAATAAAATTATTATTATTTTATATATTCCAGGTGACATGGACAGCTCGCTGGAAAATACAACTATTTCTTTATCCAAATGTTCTTTAGAGTCAGAACTTACTGAAGGTGGAAGAGAGAACAGCATTAGATCTTCTAGTGATTTCCTACAAAGTTTTAAAGACTGGGATTGGTAAGAGCTGTTTTCTATTCAGGTCTCCTTTATCGTTTATTATCTCTCATAATCCAGATAAACCATGAGTAAACAATATGTTCAGATTGCACAGATCCACAAGTCGTTTTAAGATTCTTGTTTTCTTGTTAAGTAAAGAACTGTTTGTGGCTGATGTATGAAATAATGTGAATGCTGATTTTGATGAGGAGTATTGTCTCGCTCACTTTCTAATCTAATCTATGTTGGAATTGCTAATGGGATACAAGGATGATATAAACTGAACTGGTGATATAAACTGAACTAGGAGGAAAGCAAATAGCTCAGACAGATGAACAGCTTCAAGTTTATTTAGAGATAATTTGATTCCAAAAGCCAAGAAATCTCTTTTCAGGACTACTTTACACCAAATATGAAAAAATAATGAAAAAAGGGTTTTTTTATTTTTAGCTTTCCTGGAATTTGGTGGTTGGTGGTGAGAGAAGAGTGTTGGTTTTACCTGCTACATACATGTGCTTACAGCATGAAAATTCTAGTTATTGTTGACACTTTTAAGTCAGCAATGTTACTAATTGTTGTGGTTAAAATCTTGTGCGTAATAATGCCTTCCGTCCAAATGATTTAACTCTGCTATTTGTTATCAGTCAAATACATTTTTATACAAACTTCTCTCAATGCTCTAAATGTAGTGTGTTAGAAGGGGACTGAGTAATTTTAAATTACTGCTTTTTTGTATTTTTCAGTTTTGATGATGAGCAAGATTCTTTTTGTGATTCAAGTGCTCTAGAAATAGAAGAAAAGACCATTAATTGCTCTGAAACTGATGCAATTCAAAATACAGCTATATATGTGGAAACAGGTAATAAATATTGAATTTTAAATATTTTTACAACTCTGTGTGAAGTATAACATGTAATTTAAAAAAACTTTCTAGTAAATGTATTTTGATCCAGTTCAGAAATGCAATCATCAGCTAAAATGCATTTTAATTTGGGGATTTAAACTTTCATGTAAGTATGAGTAACTCCTTTAGAATTAGAAGGTCCAGACATACTTGATGCAATACTAACATACATTTCAAAAAGAAAAATCAACCTTTTATGAAACTGGTTGCCAGGTGACTTTATGATATGAATGGAGAAACAGGGTGGGGGTTGGGTTTTTTGTTTGTTTTTTTTCTGTTTTAAGTAGCTAGCTGCATTAACAAATACTACAACTCTGTTAAGTCAGATGTCTTTTGTCAGTTTAAGGACTGAAAACTGGCAATGGGTAGAGAGTGTTATCTGTTGTTCGGTTAACTCGGGAAATTCTGCCTGGAAGATTGTAGCAGGGACCAGGTGGCATTAATTCACTGCAAATGTTTGAAAATGCTGCTGCAATTGGAGGAGTTTGTGAATCAGTATAGCTCTGTCTCTTGTGGAGAGTTTTAGGTTTAGAAGAACATTCATGTGTTCTTTTGAAAGTGTATCTGGAAGTGTGGAGACAGCCAGCCAGCCAGCCAACCCCAAAGTGGCTAAAAGGAATCTCAGAAGTCAGAACAGATCAATAGAACTGTAATAGGCTCTCACCAGGAGTTGTATTAAATGGGTGGGGAGAGCACAAGAACAGCTTTCTCCAAACACATTCTTTCTGAAAAGAAAAAAGAAAAAAAGAATTTAATTACACCAGGAAAAATGCATAGTTTACAGTATTTGGGATCAAAGGCAAAATAAATACAGAACTCAGATAAATATCACACACATTTGTTTCAGATAAGACTACTTTTTTTCTGGTTTCTTTTCCCTTTTTTTTCTGTTATGATTTGTGTGGCATTGTACTAGTTATGCTCTCCTTCCTCACCCTTGAAGCAGACACACTGTGGCAGAACAATAGTGTTGGTTTATTCTCCTCCTACAGCTGTGATAGGTCATCAACCACAGGGCTGCCTGATACATACCACCAATTAGCCCCGATTACATCATTTGCTTATCTAGTAACCTTTTTCCTGTTTCTTGATGGTCCTTCTCATTATTCTTCTTTTCCCCAGTTGCCTGCCAAATAAACAACCTATTGCTAATTACTTTTTCCTCATTGAGTTTTGCTACCTCTGTACCTGTTGTGGTTTAACCCCCACAGGCAGCCTAGCCCCACAAAGCTGCTTGCTCAGTCTCCTCGCCCCCTCCCAGTATGAAGGGAGAGAATCAAAAAGGTAAAAGTGAGAATACTCGTGGATTGAGATAAAGACACTTTAATAAGTAAAGCAAAAGCTGTGCGTGCAAGCAAAGCAAAATAAGGAATTCATTTACTGCTTCTCATCAGCAGGCAGGTGTTCAGCCGTCTCCAGGAAATCAGGGCTTCATCACGCATAATGATTACTTGAGAAAACAAATGCCACAACTCTGAAAGTCCCCCCTTCCTCTTTCTTCCCCCAGCTTTTATTGCTGAGCACGACATCATATGGTATGGGATATGCCTTTGGTCAGTAGGGGTCAGCTGTGCCAGCTGTGTCCCCTCCCAACTTCTTGTGCACCCCCAGCCCACTCGCTGGTGGGGTGGTGTGAGAAGCAGAAAAGGCCTTGACTCTGTGTAAGCACTGCTCAGCAATAAGGAAAACAACCCTGTGTTACCAACACGGTTTTCAGCACAAATCCAAAACAAGCCCCATACTAGCTACTATGAAGAAAATTAGTTCTATCCCAGCCAAAACCAGCATGGTACCCAAACTTGTATTTCTGATACTGTCATCTAGGTAATCTTGGCCTGATGTGGTACCTAGGTGCAGTTGGCCATTTGACTATTTGTGAAATCCAGCTATTCCTCACTGTGCTGTCTGCAACTTTCATCAGCTTCTTACACTGTAATCTGTCATGTCCAGCAATTTCTCATGTCATGTCCAGTAGTTTCTTAAGTCTTGTTCTGTTAACTTAGATGTCAGACCAAGGTCTAGCCAGCAGCAAATCACTTACCTGAAGCCCTTACAAAAATAATAGGAGATTTTGGCTACGTTATGATTCAGTCTGTGCATAGATTTCATACAGATTTCGATAGGATTTCTATATTGAAGTGGAGGACATAGTTTTACTTATAAAACTTCATTGATCACAAGTCATGGAACACAGTTTTGAGCAATTCTCCACAATTTTTTGGGAGATTACTTTCTCATTTTGATACCTCTTGCTCTATACTTGTCACTTTAAATGTCTAAAAGAAGTTTTCAAAGTTTTGGAACAACAATCATGTCATCATTTATCTAGGACTAATTTTTTGATGAAAAATGGGTTTTTCCTTTCCATAGGCAGCACCTTACCATCCCATTTGACTGCAAATAGACGAGAAAATAGTGACCAAAATATTACCAATGGTTTGGTAAGGAAAATTGTGAGTGGAACTGATGCTCAAGCGTGCAATAGTCAAGGCTTAATACCACCTCACATCAGTCAAATTTATGATGAATTATTTGTCATACATCAGAAGCTCCAGGTAGGAACTGGAATCACCTTAAAAATTTTGTTGAGTAATGTTATGAAGATTCTCACTTTTGACAGAGAATTCAGAAATTACTTATATACTAAATCGCTATTACTTATATACTAAAACTGAATTACTTACATACTAAAACTATTACTTATTACTATTACTTATGCTAATCACAATTACTTATCTACTAAAACTCTGTCATCATCTGCCTCTTCCCCTAAATTAATTCACTGATTTGGTAGCGGTGCTTTGACTTGCATAGTGGGTAGATCAGATAAAGTTCAGCTTGAGGGAGTTTGAACATAGTGCTGCTACATCCAAGAGGAGTCTTGTGACGCACTGTGGGCATGGAGGGAAATGCCTGCAACCATTGCTTCTCCTGAGAGCATCTGAAACTATTCTCCTGACTCAAGGCATTCAAGAGTGCTTGCCTTCATGGCCTCCTGCGAAAACCCTCCATTCTGCCTTATTACTTTTCTGCTTCTGGGGAATCCCAACAGTTCATCCCCTAGCAGGCCTAGGCCACTAACAGAAGAACCTCCTAATATGCTTTTATTCTGTAATAGCTCCCATGCTTCTGCTAGACTGCCAATCTGCCAGGACTGTCTTTTGCAAAAATAATTTTGTATCTTTTTTTTTCCTCAACACTTTTTTAGGGATGCTTCCCACTAATTGAAGAAACAATATAGTAATCTAGTGTTCAGCATAGACAGTTGCATCAGACTCTGTTTTGTCTTACACTTAATACCATTATCCAAAAGTTTTGGAAGCAAAAGCCTAAGTTTAATTGTCTAGGTTTATACTTGAACAACCATGTAGAGTTGAATTTTGTATTTTGGGAGGCTGAGCCATCCTGCCGCACACCGAAGTCATTTGGGTTAATGTGTGGGGAAACTGAACATAGATGTCCATCAGGATACTTTTAATTAGTAAGCTATTGTGCAACACTGTACAGTTTTACAAAAAGCTAAGCATATCTCTGGGAGAGAAAATTCAAATTCAGTATAAATTGTGATAATTTCATGGATTTTAAAGCTGTTTCAACATTTGTTTTCTTGATACAGAGAGAAAGTTCAGCACAGCAGGAGTATGCTCTGCAACTCCAGAAACGAGAGCATTTTCTAACAGAGCTAGAAGTATTGCTTTTTAGACATGAAGCAGCTTTGGCAAAAATAAGAGGTGTTGAGGAAGAAGTTCACATAAAATTTGGAATTATAAAAGAGGTGCAGTCATATATTTAATTATGTTTATTGCTCTACATGCCATTTAACTTGTTTGTAGTTTTCTTAAGTCATCACATGTTTGCTGGATATAATGCTTATTTCTTTAAAGTGCTTGAAATCCCCAAATGAAAGGTTTACATAAAAAGTACAAACAATATCGATAGGTTTTTTGTATGGGTTCTGTTTCAGAATGGTGCGTTTAGTTGTCTGATATGTACGTACATTTTACTGTTACAATTTAGAAAAGAAAGGTAACATTTCTAAAATAGCAAAAACTATATGACCAGTATTAGAGAAAAAATTGTGGTCTGTCTGTAATTGTATGTAACCTAAATGAGTATCTTTGCATTAGCTATAGTTGAAGTAGATTTCCTGGGGAAAGCTTTAGGACATAATGAGATCTTATGACATAACAACTATCGCAGAGAGCATTAGCAGAAAAACTGTCAAAAAGTTCAAAGAAGGAAAAGATCAACCTAACTTTGGGGGTGTGGGAGGAAATGAAATGGTATGATTTCAACAACAGAAAAAAGTGTTGAACAACACTGTTCTTGTGGGTGTTTGCGATTGAATTTAGGTCTTGTGAAAAGTTTTGGTTATTATCCAGAAGATCAACAAGAGAAGTTCTTGAATATGTGTTCTTAGTGTCAAAAACATAAGCTGAGAATTTAAATTTCTTTGAAGCGTGCAGAAAAGCCTTTCCCACAAGCTGTTGAGGGAGGACAGACAAAAGGGGAAAAAGGTATCAGAGGAGCGGGACTTCAACTTTTGGACAGGGAAGGAATAGGTTAAGGTGTTAATTTAGATGTTTCAAATCTTCTGGGCTTTAAGAATGTTACACTAGTTAGAGAATTGGCTGATGAAAACCCAGGAAAGATTAGTGTTTATCTGTGAAAATTTATGGAGGTCAAACGGAGTATTAGAAGACTAAAAAAATGTGGTGCCTTTCTTTTCAA